TCATTGCTTCGCATGCAATGGAGAACCCGCGTAGAACACAGAACAATTATTTCTATCAGGGAGGGGAGTCTCGTGGTATTAAAGAAAAAGTTATTTGTTTTTTCATTTTTAAGATAAAATTCTCTTTCTATAACGATAAATATTTGATTGACATTTAAAAGCTATTTTATAAAGATTTTCAATTTCTCTTTGCGTTTTAGCTTCGATTTTTCGGATAGAATAAAATGACAGGCAGCCTACTCCACTGGGTCGAGTTTTGCTGTGCAAATTCCTCCCGTCGGAGGGTTATGTTTACAACATAAGCTTGTCAGCTTTGCGCTGATTGGCTAGTCGCATTTTCTCAAATCACCCAGTAGCTGCAATTTCAAAATACAGCCGTTTTGTTTCACTGTTTGTGCTAACAGACTAAGTGGCATACCTCAACATACGCTCCCTTTTCACTGATGGCAACAAGTTTAGCCTTGATGAGTCTTTCTCTTTGTTTTTCAACTTGAACCTTAGCGGACTCTGGCATTGCTTTAATAATTTGCTTGAATCCTTCTTCTCTCTCTATTGATGCCCGTAGTCCATTGTATGCAGTCTCGTAGACTTCAGCAGTGTCTTTGATATCTTTTACTTGCTCTTTATATGCCTCCCAAGCCATCAGAGGAGCAAAAAGTTTATTTCTTCCAAACCTGTCGAATCCTTTTTTATTGAGAAAGGCTATTCTTCGTTTGGCAACTGAAATTGGAAAAATGACAAAGTTACTCTTCTTATAAAGAGTGCAAATAATATACCCGTTAAATAGACATTCTCGTACGCAGACCCTTTTTAATCTTTCAACCGAAATTCAAAGGCTCTTGGAAGTAATTTCAAGCAACATGATTGGCTTATTCAAACAACAAACGGACAAGCTTGTAATCCTTATCGAAACTTTAAAATAAAAACCTGTGTCAATCATTCTTTGCAAAATCGAACTTTAGTTGACAAAGTTAAACAAAGGTCTCATTTAACAGTATTTCTCGCTGAAGCAATTTATTATGCATTTTAATAAACTGGCGGCAATGCCATAAAGAATGCTGCAATATCATCTATTCATTATTAAAATGACTTGGAAATAACATTTTTTGTTTGATTAACCCAAGTCCAATATGACGTCATAATGACGTTATAGATATGAGTGAATAGAGTTAACCGAAGCTAGTCTAACTTCACATTACAGCAAATTTTACAAGAATATCTTTATACATATATCTTTCAATGTCCCTCTCTCAAATAGCGAGAAATACCGAGTAATTTTGTCTTTGTTTTTTTGTCTTTGTTTTTTAAAATCAATGTCAATCCAGTGCTGCTGATGGTCTTGGTTTGAAAATGACCACACTCGAGACACTCCACTCGAGACACACGTGTCGAGCAATTTTTTAAAATAAATCGAACTCAGGGATACCCAGACTCTAGCAAGCAAATATTCAAATAGCATTTATCTATATGCAGTTAATAGTCTAAATGTTTTGATGAGTGGAAGAACGAGGGAACAATAGTCAAGGCAAGAATTATCTCCCGAACCAATGTAAATCAAGACGGCTGAAAACGAGAGCGGAAACCTAACATAGATATGATATTTAATGTACTCAAGCAACTCCAAATGAAAACCAAATAAACAAATGAGAAAGGCGGAAAAGAATAATCATGAAGATGGACACAGCGCTTCTATTCTTCTTTTTGCGTATTCAATGCGGGATGACGTAAGTGCTTTGTGAAGTGACTCCCGCATAATCAGTTTGCCCCATTAATCCCAAACTTATTTTTACGGCAATTTCTCCAAGAATTYTAACGTGTTTGAGTTTCAAATTAGTGACGTCGGAGTTTTTGAAGCTGTTTGAAACACGAACTCGAGTGATTTAAGTATACTTTACAAAGCACTCTTGCCATCCCACATTGAATACGCATAAAGAAAAATACTACGGCTGTTGGCTGGTTATTCACTGGAATGAATGAGTTTCCAGTAATTTGATGCCTCACCAAACGCAATGCATGCATGGATTGCCAAGGGGCAAACAAAGCGTGAACTACAAGAGTTTGTATGGCGGAAATTCGTATTTTCATGTTTATAGCTCGATTTTTTAGTGGATATGGAACTTTTTTACGCCGTTTTTACGGGATATTATTAGGAGGAAGTTGTACAATCTGGATACGTAAGTTTAGAACGATATTTAAAAAACTCATACATAATTAATGAGCTACTAGGACAATAGAATGAGCCTATTTGGTCACATGCATGGACCTTTATATCTGATAAAACACTCCTTATTAGTATTCTTTATATAAAGAATACTAATAAGGGTGACCTTTATCAGATATAAAGGTCCATGACCCTAGCAAAGGTCTCAGGTTTGAAACCTGATCATTGACCAATGCAGGATGTCAACCGATTTCAGTGAACAGCCAAGAGCGCTTCTATTTTACTTTATGCGTATTCAATGTGGGATGACAAGASTGCTTTGTAAAGTGATTCGCGCATGATCAGTTTGCCCCATTTATCTCTGAACATATTTTTACGGCAATTTCTCCAAGAATTTTAACGAATTTGAGTTTCAAATTAGTGTTGGAGTTTTTTAAGTCGTTTAAAACACTCGAGATCGTGTTTTATCAGGTATAAAGATACCTGATAAAACACTCTCTCTCGTGTTTTAAACTATACATGTAAAATTATAGGCGAAAAACTCGATTTTCTTTCGCAATTCGCAGTGTGAATATACACAGTAACACTTCGCTCACGGACTTAAAATAGTGAGATTTTTTATCAAGATAAATGCATGATTGCTCAATAAAATCATTCTATATATATTCTACAGTGTGTGAAACATTGTTATCGAAAATTCGAGGTTTAGGGTGAGTTTTTTGACCTCTAGAATGTTAACTTAAGAAAGATCTAAAATACATTGTATCCGTTCGCGGTGATGGAAATTGTTTCTATATTGCTGCAGTCGCTGTATTGCTTTGTGTTTGAACAAAAAGTGACCAAGGACACGCGGAATTGTAGAGCTTATATGGTTGTTTGATTGAGGCAAATGCACAGGTTTTTGAGCCGCTTTTATTTACTGCACGATCAGTAGAACAACATCTCACTTTGTCCTCATCGTCCTCATAAACAATGTTGGTGTGCTATTAGAGCACACTTTGGTACTTTTTGTTACCTTAAATTGTGCTTTGTTTATTGCTCTATCCCACGACAAGATTTCTTTCTTATTTTTTTGGGGGGAAAAAAACTCAAAATACCAACATTAGAAATAATTTTTTACCTTTCTGGATACCCCCGATGGTTGTCACAACCACATACAGAAGAGTGGTGATCGCCTTTTGGCATATTAACTTTGGATAATATTTTAATATATCTAAAGTTTGTAGTGTACAGTAACAATGTTTCACACACTGTAGCATATGTGTAGAATGATTTTATTGAGAAACCATGCATTTATCTTGACCGAAAAAACTCACTATTTTAAGTCCGTGAGCGAAGTGTTACTRTGTACATYCACMCTGCGAAKTGCGAAAGAAAATCGAGTTTTTCGCCTATAATTTTACATATATCGTTCTAAACTTACGTATCCAGATTGTACAACTTCCTCCTAATAATATCCCGTAAAACGGCGTAAAAAAGTTACATATCCACTGACAAATCGAGCGATAAACATGAAAATACGAATTTCCGCCATACAAACTCTTGTAGATCACACTTTGTTTGCCCCTTGGCAATCCATGCATGCATTGCGTTTGGGGAGGGATCAAATTACTGGAAACTCATTCATTGTTTAACATCCTGCATTGTCAATGATCAGGTATCAACTTGAAGCCTTTGCTAGGGTCTTGGACCTTTATAAGGAGTGTTTTATCAGATATAAAGGTCCATGCATGCGACCAAATAGGCTCATTCTATTGGCCTAATAACTCATTAATTATGTATGAGTTTTCAGTGAAACTATACATAAAATGAAAGAAAGAAAAATATAACCTACAATTTCTCCATACTGGGCTCGTGTAAAGTGATTTAAAACTATTAAAAAACTATTATGCAAGTGTGTATTGACATGTATTAACTTTTATTAGTCAAATATCTATTTCACTGGTACATTGACCTCACTCTACTCGTAAAACTTTTAAGATATTAAGTAAAAGCAACAGTTCTAAGATCGCGTAGTGCTGAGTCACTTGAATCATGAAATAGAAACTAAATATATACTTAGTAACGAATAGGCACAGTGTAGTGTATTAGGTAACAACCTATTRGGTTACCTGTGTCTTTGTAGCGTGCGATTAAAGCTGTTGTTTCAATACGAGTATTCTATCTAATTTATCTGGTTCAATCCGAGGGTAAATTACTAAATCTGGCGACGAGGATTATTAAAACAAAGAAGACTTAATTCGATTATATTGTTGGTTCGGTCAGGATGGCAAACGAATGCGAATCAGACCGATTAAAAGCCTTTGATCCAACAGGAGATGTCACGAGCGTGGGTCCTCGATGGAAAAGATGGAAGCGATCCTTCCAATACTACTTGACTGGGAGAGGGATCAAAGATGATGACCGGAAAAAAGCTCTTCTTTTGCATTTAGCTGGTGAGAGGGTTCATGATATTTTCGACGGTTTAGCAGAACCTGAAGTAGTCGAAGGTGACCATGAGAATGCTTGATCTGCACTTTATTCACTAAGCAAATATTCCGTATGAAAGAYATGTATTTCGACAAATGAATCAAGGAGACTCTTAGTCTCCTCGCAGCCGTTCTTATTGCCGGGTTCCCTGTCCCCCGCCCCTCAAACGGCTGCTCCAATCACAGGTAGCCCAAACTTATTATCAGAGGACGATGACGTAATGTGTTGAACCGTTGATAATTTTTGAATTTTTAATTAGTTTCAAGGTAGGTTCGTAATAAAGCCTTCCAAAACCATTGAAAACTGTAAATAATTATCAGAAATCTTTCAAAAAGTTAGAATGATCATTAAATAACACGTTGGTTTAGTAATATTAACATAAAAGCGTCTCTGGAGTGATTTTGAGCACTTCGAAGATTCGCTCCCTTCMTAGTGTACATATATTTAGGAAAGGTTTGCAACTCCCGCTCGAAGCGGCTTCCAAACGCTTATATCATTTAAAATTATAAAAGATTCTTTGCAAGTTTACTTAACCACATATCCTGCCGATGCATTTTTTTGTCAGTAGACAATGTTTTCAAAGCTTGAATAATACGATTGATCGCGCTTCAAAGAAACTAGAAGAAACACGGAAAGAGCTTGACCAGTCTTTTGTTCAGCAAGAGAAAAGACCACACGAGCAAGAGTTACAAGGGAATATGACGGAAGCCAGAGTGCCACATGTCAACACCAAGAGCTGCGAAGTGTCCTGGAAGTTCCGTTGAATCATCGACAACTTTAAGTAAAGCTTGAAAAATCAAGGATTTACCGAAACCAGTAGGTAAATTAATAATAAACTGACGAAAACATCATAGATCAAGTAATCGATAAGTGTCACTCAGCGTGACTTAGGATGAAATTATTATCAAAAGGGACTGATTTAAAGACGAAAGACGTACAAACCCAAACTGAGTCGCTAAATGCTATGTGTGGAAGTAAACACGTGCCGGGATCAAAGACGTTTAAGCCTATTGTGCTCCTGCGAAGAATGCTACCTGTAGAAAATGTAAAAATGTGGGTCACTTTGAAAAAAATCTGTAGAACAAAACCA